TTTCCCCCGTGGCAAACCTGAGCTCGGTCCCTGCTTTCCTGTGCAGTTTTCCTTCCTTAGGTGTTGGCACTGTGGAGCGGTCGGGTGGTGTCAGCAGGCGATCTCCTCCAGCGTTCCCAGGGTGGCCTGCAGCGGCACGTTCACAGTGTGGCTGATGGTTTCCGAATGATTTGGCATGGGGTCGCAAGTGCTCTGCGGACGGAGAGCGGGGGACAGGGTTACCCCGGGGCCACAGGATGCTCCCTGTCCCTCCCCAACTGCTATCTCCTTTCCTTTGCCGAGCCATAGCATCAATCCTTTGGAAATAACTCAAGCCGGAGCCGAATGCTGCATCCGTATCGAGCGACTTCGCCTGCCTACGGAGCCGACCGCAGGCAAATTTCCTCCTCTCTCCCAATGGGGCTCCTTACCACGTTTTCATCATGGCTCCCTTCCTCTTCCTCCTTTCCAAGTAGGTCTAATAGCTTCTCCTTGATCAGCTGCAAAAGAGGGAGGTTTGGTTAAGGTGGGCAGGAACAGGCGAGAGATCTGCCCTGCCTGCGTCGGCATCCGTGAGGTCCGCATGCTGGGTCCGCAGCCCCGCGTTTGGAGGACACCCTCCGAAGCATATGGAGAAGGAGACAATCTTTCCAAGAAAACCACCACGAAAACCACCAAGAAAACCACGTGTCAAAACTGAACTCTTCACGTGGGAAAGAAAAAAAAAAACCCCAAACCTCAATTTTTTAAAATATATCTGGGGGTTTATTGAGAAATGTCAGCTACGTGAGCACCATTTCCCTTCACAGCCACATTATTTCCCTGGCAGCTGCTGCTGCTGAAGAACGTATTTTCAAGGGAAATCCCAGAACGGTTGAAAAGTGAGGGTTTTTCTGAAAAACTTCTACTGGGGTAAAAGAAAAAAAAAAAGAAGAAAGCTAAAAACGTGAAAAATTGGGTCAGTTGCTAAGGAAGCGAGGCGGATGCTGGCTGGCATGCGGAGATGCGTGGTGGGGATTCGGGACCCCGATGAGCCCAGGAGCACAGCTCTGCCCTGGGGCAGGACCAAGAGGAGGACTGCACCCAGCGAACGATGCAAAAACCCCGTCTCTAGGGACAATATTTCATCGCATTTTGGCTAACCCACCAGAAAAGAATAGTTGTATCTGTTTGCTGGCAACCTCAAAGAGTTTACAAATACTTTGGTTGAAAACTCAGTGAGTTTCAGGTGCGCTGAACCCCACCTTGATGAAACCCTGAGCAGATCAGATCAACCATGAGGCATCGTTTAAGACATTTTATTCCTTTTCTCCCTGTCTGGTGAGGGTTAAGTATCTGTCAGGGGTGACCATGAAGATGCCCTGCATAGGGCACTGCTGGGTGAACCTGCTGGTGCATCCCCAGGGGTGCACAGGGAGCCTCTCTTAACCCAGGTTTGCCCAAAAAGAAGAAGAAAAAAGGGGGAAAAAAACCAAACCAGCAAGAGGAAACTATTCGTCAAGTTTTGTAAGCAGATGTCAAACAAAGGAGTAAAACAGAGTAGAAAAATACAAACTTTGCAAGGTTTCTTATTACCTTCTTATGAAAGAACCCCAAGAAAGCCGGGAATAGGCGATTTTAATGAAATATTGTGTGCATTTAGCCTGAGATATAAACTGAGGCGCAGGTTTTGTTTGCACTCCAAAGCCATTATGAGCTTTATGCTTGTAATTTTCAATATATTTTATTGCAGAATAATGCCACCAAGTGCTAACAGCTGCCCAGAAGGGACTGTGATGGGGAGCGACTGTCTTAAAACTTAAAGCCAACTTTAATAACATTAAGAGGTTTTTCAGGATGCCCCGGTGAGCTTGGAGCAGAGACCGTGGTTGCCTGACATCCCCATGCACCCACCTGGCTTGGCACACATTAATGCGACAGCCACGAGTGACCCCTGACTGCAATATCCCATGGGATTAAAAATCCCTGGTCCCATCATGGCACCGGGCTGAGATGGGGCTAGGAGAATGCTGGACTATGCACATCTAAGACATTGCATATTTGGGTGCACGGGGCCCAAAGCCATTGCATTAAAATCACCAGGCAATGAGCAGATGAGCTGAATTAGCAGAAGACAGCTTCCCAGGGACAAGGGCAAAGGACCTTGGGCTGGGGTGTGCCAAATTTGCTGGGAACTGCCTGTCTCCGTGGGTGTTTGCATCCTCCTTGAAACTATCCCAAGCCATAAACTCATTCTTTCCTGCTATAAAACAGGACACACTCTTGCGTGTTTGGGTTCCTGGGGTCATCTTGGTGCAAACCGGGTGCTCCTCAGCAGCTTGCAACCAGCTGCAGCCCTTCTCCCTGCCTCAGTTTCCCCTTTTGTAAACAAAAATCATGAGCCTGACCCCCAGCATGAAGCCTTCTGCAATGTGGCGGTGAAGACTGGGAAGAAAAATCAATGGTGGGGAGGATGCTCCAGGGAGGGTTATTTTGGACCGTGGCCCATTTAGGTGAAAAAATCATAGAATCGTTTAGGTTGGAAAAGCCCTTTAAGATCATCCAGTCCAACCATTAACCTACACTACCAAGTCCACTCTAAACCAATCAAGGGTAGACTAGACTAAACCATGTCCCCAAGTGCCACCTCTGCCCGTTTTTTGAACACTTCCAGGGATGGGGACTCCACCACCTCTCTGGGCAGCCTGTTCCAATGCTTGACCACCCTTTCCATAAAGAAATTTTTCCTAATTTCCAACCTAAACCTCCCCTGGCGCAGCTTAAGCCCATTTCCTCTCGTCCTATCGCTAACTACATGGGGTGGAAAAAGTGCAAATGGCAGGAAGGTGCAGAGAGCAGCTGGAATCTGCCTCTGCACTCACGGGGCAGCGGTGGAGGATGCTGGAGGGACGATGCCCGCAGGCAGGCTGTGACAGCATGGGACCACCGAGGCCTGCGCTGGCACCACGGCACAGAAAAGTCGAAATCCCCTGGGAGAGGCTGAGCTGTGCTGCTGGGCTGAGACATCAGCGTTAACTGGGAGAACTTGCTTAGGCAAAAAGAGATTAAAGATATACAAGATGACCTCTGAAGGTCCCTTTCAACCCAAAGCGTTCTACGATTCTGTGATTCTAAGGGTTGTAACTCTGCTGCTGGAGGGCAGGAGGGAGGGCTGCCAGAAAGCAACATCCCCTCCAGACTGCTCATTGCAATAATTCCCATTAAAGAGGGCTTGCACTTTTCTCCGGAGCAGCAGCTCTTGGCCACCGCGGAGCCATGGGACCACGCTCGAGTTCGCCTCGGTGCTTCCTAGAAAGCTCCTTGCTCCAGGGCTGCTGGCAGAGCTGCGGACAGCAGATAACAGGGACTGCGTTTTTCCACCCCCCGGCAGCGGTACAAGGTCTTGCCTCACTGCTTCTCCCACCTGACGGCTGGACTGGGACTCAGGCATTAATTAATTAAAACCGGTTTTTATTAGGAGATGATAACAGCATGCTGCTGGGAGAAGCCCAAGTGGGGACGGGGACAGGAGGGTGCAGCAGCACGTCCCCAGCCAGCACCCCAGCCAGTGCAAGCTTCAGGGTGGGAAGCAGCACAGCCACGGGAAGGCGGTGCTTAATTAGCCCAAGCGAGAAGCAAACCTCGTTAGCAGAGGCAGGGGGCCAAGCAAACCTGGCTGTGCCACGCCATGGCTGCATGCCAGCCCCCCCCAACACAGAGCCGCCGCTGATGCGGGGACCTTCGCACCACGCTACACAGCACTATTGTAGAGCATTAATTATACAGTATCCTTAATTAAAATTAATAATCCAGGTGGGCACATTGGGCATGGAGGGTCCTGGTCCACGACCGCCCCAGCCTGGCATCAAGGCTGGCAAACCCACGCCCCGCCAGAGGAATCAGGCAAAGGGCGAGGGTCTTACCTCGTATATATAATCGAAGAGCTCTAGTATAGTAAGGATGCTAGCACCGATAAATAGCCCCATCTGGCCTCCAATGTCACCTAGGAGAGAGAACAACGTGCAGATGGCTTTTACCCCGGGGTAAATGCTCTTAGAGGCACCCGTGCAACCACAGTGCGGCTGCCCTGGGTGCTGCTGTCCTCAGAAACACCAACAGCTCCAGTGGCATCAAAGGCATCCCGGGAAGGACATTGCCAGCCAGCAAAGCATTTCTCCTGTTAAGGAGGCCATCAGCTGGAAGCCTAACGAGGATGCGATAACTCTGTAACACACGCGCTGGCATCCAAGGAAGCCATCTGTCAGAGTCAGACAGGCTTCATCCCAGGAATCCCACAGCCCGATTCCCAAACTGGGTGGGGGAAGAAGAAAGATGCTGGAGAAGAATTAAGTAACGTCCCCTGGAGCTGAGGAAAAAAACCCAAACGTGCCAAAGAGAGGAAAAGGAGAGGGAAGATGGCCTGGTTTTTGTGGGAGCATCTCAAGGCTGTTTCTGCGTGAGTCCTGCGATCCCCCAGGGCTGGGGAAGGGCTGGGGAGGAGGCACCTCGGGGAGAGGAGACTTCCAGGGATCTGCCGGGAAGACAACTCCTGACGTGAGATGCTGTGCTATGCCAAACCGCGTGCTTCAGGGAAGACAAACCTCATGGATTTTGCTGCGAAACGCCCGTGTTTCAACTGTGTTGCTGCTCAGAGCAAAGTCACCTGTGGGTGGAGGGGCTCCGGGACCTTTGCTGTGGGTGTCCATGAGACAGAGACAGAAGAAAGGGAGGAAAAAAGGTGCCTGGGGGCAAAGTGCAGGTTCAAAAGGGGCTGACGACTGGGGGAAAATGAGACTCTGCCCGAAGCCTGTAGTGCCCTGGGACCGAGGGTTGTGCAAGGTTGTGCAGATAAGGAGGCTTATGTCAAAGAGCCTTCATCACCAGCCTCCTCTGCCTCGCTGTAGCACTCCTGGGGAACCCACAGCAAGTGCAGAAGGGCTCATGCCGTGTATGTTTTGCAGAGCTACCACTGCAGGGTGACGTGGGGCACCCAACAGGACATGGGGTGCTCTGCTCCCCCCGGTGTCCCCTGTCCCAGGGCAGGCTCATAGCAGCTGGCCCTGCAGGATGGCCCTGCTCCAGCTTTCAAACAAAGGTACCGGTCGCTCCCTGCATCCCAGGAGGGATATGGGGATTCAGGGTGGCACATGGGGAGCTGCAAGGCTGAGCATGGCCACAGCGCATGCTTGCTTTTCCCGACTGAACACCTCCACCCCGAAGACCCAATGGGTCCCAAGGACTCAAATCTGTAGCCAGCATCCATAAAGCTTGACCCATTTTGAAGCTGAGCAACCCAACAGCTCCTCCACCTTCTCCATCAAGCTGCAGGGCATCACCCAAAGGCTCAGGGTCCTGGCTGGCCTCCCTGGAAAGGAGGATAGATTTGGAGCATGTACGAGGTGATGGGTAGCTGGTTTTAAGAGTTGTCCTCCTCCACACACTCCCCTTCCAGCATGGGGGGCACCACAGAGAGCATCCATCACCCATTCGGCCCCGGGATTTGCAAATAATAGGGCCCTGTAGCAAGCTGAGATGGAGCAGCTCATGTTAACCTTTCATGGGTGACACACGGACTAGCTGTGGTCCCTGGGACATTCCTGGGACGGCTTGGTGTTGGAAGGAAAATAAGGGATGGGGTTGAAAGTGTGCCAGCCAGGAAGGTGGCTGGACCTTGCTGGGATTTTCAAGGCAATGCACATAAGCTGTGCACCCACTCATGGCATCTGTCTGGCCCATAAACACACATGGACTCCAGCAAAGACTCTCACAGACTCCCAAATGCACCCCCGACCTCTCCTTACCAAGTAAGGCTGCCACTTCATAGGCTTTCTTCTGCTCAATTGTCTCATAGTTAAGTGCTTCAAAAAATATGTCCAGCACAAGAATATTCTCTCTGTAGAAAAAGGACAACAGCATCAGCCCATCAGCCACCAGCAGCCTCATGTGCTTTGGGGAAAGAAAAAAAATGGGACTTTGGGGCTTTATTCCCCTCTCTGTCCTGACTGTTCTCTTTCTGGGGTCCTCAGCAATCCCCAGACACTTGGACCTCCTGGAGACCAAGACCATAGGGCACCGTTAGGACTCTGGCAGCCTCAGCAGAAGCTGGAAAATGTTTCCCCAAGATCTCTCAGGATCTGAGCTCTGGATCTCACTTTGATGATAACAGCAAGAGTCCAAAGGATGCTTAATATGGAGTAATTCTTGCTGCCTCCACAAGGCAATAACGTGGCCAGGGCTGGCCCGGTGTGTCCACGGCCTGAATGAGGAAGAGCCCAGCCATACCTCAGACAGGGCAAGCAAGCCTGGGCTTCCTTGTCAAAATAAGAGGAGGTTTTGCACTTTTTTTGGTGGGTATGGAGTATGCTCATGCAGACAAGGCCAGGGAAGGAACATACAGTTGTCTGGAAACACGTCTACTGAGAAGAAAGCAACCTACACCTCATCTCTTCAAGGGTTTCACCTAACCCTCCCTGGAGGACACACTCCTGTTTGGTGATGGAGGCACTGGCAAGGTCTGGTCTTAGCACAGGCTGGTTTAAACAGCCAATGGGGGCTTCACACACACTTTCCCCCATAAAGCAATGATCTGTTTTCTACAACACTCACGAGATATATTTTTCTGACTTGTTGAACTTCTTCTCCAGGTACTTGGCCGAGGTCTTGCTGGGGATCTTGACCATGGAGAGCTCTTTGTTGTATCTGGTCAGGTTACAGGGTGTCCTGCAGATGCAGTAATTGCTGTCCTTTTCTGCAAGCAAACCTGGAGAAGGTCACAGAGTTAGCTCTCATGGAGTCAGGGATGCCGAGCAGATGTGGGAGCAGAGGCCATGCCACCCAGAGAGGGGCCAAGGAGTCACATTTCAGAAGAGCTGCAGGAAACCCAGTCCTGGCCATTTCTCTGCCACTTCACTGCACGGCCATCCCCACCATCTTGGAGAGAGGCCTTCTGCTGGAGGCTACACCCTGTTACCAGCATCTGCTCAGGGAACATGTGGTGACTGAGTCTCCTAAATCCAGACCTAGAATGGGTCCCTCCATCCCAACCCAGACCCAGAGGTGCTCCGCTCCTGCACATCCTGGGGTGCCCGTTATCCCAAGGGTTTCTGTGCTGATAGAGCTCCGTGCCCCGTGTAGAACCAGAAGAAACTTTACCCCAGGGTGCACCCAGCCCTTCCCAACAAGTTGGGTCTCATCAAAACCCATCGCTGGGTTGCAGCTGCTCTAGATCACCCCAGTCCTGCCAGCCAGGAGGACGCAGGCTGCTGGAAGTCCCTCCAGTTTGGGACACCCGTGGGATATCTCTTGGTACTCACCGAGCGCAGGCTCTGCGCATTCCTTATACTGCTCCGGGGTACAGAAGGGAGCATCCCCTGCATGGAAAGGACACATCCATCAGTGGGCATCAGCCACCGCTGCTGCAAGGGCGCCGGGGACCTCTGGGCTCTCCACCGGGACCACAGGGACCTCCCTTTAGCAAAGTGAGCCCAGGTTTGGGATGGGAAGCGTCTGCCCCACCTCTGCCTGCCGCGGGGGTCTGCTCTTGCAAACCGAGGAGGGGGCTGCTGGAAATGTCACCCAGGGATGTTAACCTAAGGGGAAATCGGACCCATGTCCCTCTGCCGTATCTTGCCCCTATTTCAGGGCATTTTGCAAAGGCTGTTAGCATCCTTCTTTCCTTAGGGAAGGTATTCGCAGCTCATTTAATCCACGGTCCCTTTTCAGCTCATTAACCCTTAATGACCCCGGCTGCGTGGAGGGAGGGAGCCCCTGCCCCCCCCGGCACACTGACCTGGCATGTGAACCATTTTGCAGTTGCAGTTTTCCACAATATACCGGGTCTCACAGTCGATCCTGCAAGCCGTGATACTGTAAACGGGAAAGAAGTCTAAGCCCATATCCGACGAGCGACATTCACCCCACGGCGGAGGCAGGTACGTCAGCTGCAAGAAAGGGAGGAGCGGGGTGTCAGGGGACGCGGGGGACCGGCAGCGAGGAGCGGGGCACAGCATCTCCCTCCTCTTGCCACAGAGGAGCCCCCAGAGCACCATTTCAATGACCTTTCTAAGGAGGAGACCGAGTGGGGACGTTGCAAGGAAAGGTCGCAGCATGATTTTTGCCAAGTGAGAGCCTTTAGCAAGCTCTTCTGCTCCAGAGCTCCTCTCCTGCGTCCCTCCAGCCCAGCATCTCCAGGAGCAGAGGCATAGCAGGGTGGTGCACTGGAGACGTGCAGCACCAGAGGTTCTCCAAGACCAGCTCTGTGGTCTTTCTTGCACCTTTGGGAAAATCCTGCCCATGCAGGGACTGAAAGGGGAGGCTCTGACCTGCAAATCATCTCCTACTTTGGTGAGAGCAAACATGGGGTTGCTGGCACTGGTGTGTCATGGACGGCTCCCATCTCCGGCTTACTCTAATCTCCAGGCTGTGCTACTACGCGCCACTCATGGGGACAATGCAGACAGCACCGGTAACATTCAAGAGCAGAAAGGGGTGGCAGTGAGATCCTGGCAATGGCTGTGATCGCTCTGGTGTGAGTAAAGCTGCCACATCTGCGCCATTCCCTTCTTCAGGCATTTTTCTCATTGATAAATAAATGCAGCAGATCACAACCCTCAGAGAGGGCCAGGGACTTGGGAGCACATGGAAAGGACCAGGAACAGTTCACCAACTAGAGATTGCTGCAGAAGGTAAAAAATGCCAAGGAAAGGGTGTACCGGTGCCATGAGGAGCCTCCAAACCTCCATGCCCCCCATGGAGGGATGGCTCTGCTCAGAGCAGCGCTACCATGGGAGATGGTGCCAGGCTGCAGAGCAGGACCTCGCTGCAGCCTCGGAGAAGGCAGCCAAGTCAATCATGGCCTTTTCCAAACACCCATGCTCAGGGAGAGTCCTGTGGAGCTAGATACACATTATCCACTCTCCTGGCACTCCATGATGATGAGGAACCTGTCGGCTTCTCCCCCATTTGCACACCACCTCGTGTGAGGCTCATAAGTTGCTCTGCTCAGTGCTAGTGCAATGCAAACCCTTCTGCTGTTACTGCTTTATTTAACACAAGTGCAAAGATAAGCAGGACTCCACAATCCACCACAGCAACCTTAATTCAGAGCCCAGAACATGCTGGAGGAAAAAGTCACTCTCTGGCCCCCACGGCCAAATCTACCTTGTTCCTCTTCTGTCTGCAGCTTGGCAGCCTTTCCTGTTTCTCTCCATCTTTGCTAAATGCTCTGCACTACTCTTTGCTAGAGAGCAGAAAATAGCATTCCCCGAACCCCTCCTTCTTTGTGTTTTAAAGCAGCATCCAATTTGCTGTGCTTTGCGCCAAACACAGAACATTTTGCGCTGGCAAAGCACGTTGGCTGAACAAAAACATTCCTTTAGAAACTGTAGTAACATTAATCACATCCTAAAATAAATATGTAAACATATGTTGATGGACTATGAGCCTAGGCCCTAGTGGCAAGGCTCTACAGTGCTTGTTTTGGGTCTCTCCTGGAGATGTGTGGGAAAGGGAGGAGAAAAGAGAGGACCCACAATGTGGAGGCACATTGCAGATGCTGTCGGATGAATAATGACCCCATAAATCCTTCAGGCATGGACGTGGGGTAACTATGACAAAAACTACCATGGCATGAGGCGTTTGGAGCCCAAGCACTGCTCTAGGTCTTCCCTGGGCGATCTCCTGCAAGAACAGAGCTCCAGCTCTCCAATGCATCCTGTGAGAAGATGCTCACCTTGTGCACCAGCTTGCAATGCTGGGGCGCTGGTAAATCTCCCATGGTTTTGACTTATGAACCCCTCAATAGTTAAAAACCCATAATGGGCTTAAATTGCAGCCAGGAAGAGAAAGATGAGATGTTGGGATGAATGTGTCTTGTGGTGAGGACAGTTGGGTATGGGAACAGTCTGCCTTGGAGGGGCACGAAACCTGGAAGCTAAAGGAGAATTTGGGGAAGATGCCAGGCCTCAGAGAAGGTGATCCTACCCTCTGGGGCTGGACAAGCTTTCAACTCAGCCAAACCAAAGTAATTCCTTCTCTAGGAACAATTTTGCCATGAACAGTTCCCAGCCAGGAATCCAGAGGTGCTTTGCTTATTGCAGCACTTTGCTTGCTTCGTCTACGGGCACTAGACTGATTCCCAGTTACTATACTGATTCCCAGTTACTATACTGATTCCCAGTTACTCCTGTCTCTAGCAGGCTGCTGCAGGCTTTACGGGACCAGCTGGAACCCCAGCCCTGTGGTACACCCATCTTCCAGATGAGCCACAGATCCTCCCCGCGATGAGACGGTAGTTCAAGGTCTTCCCTCGCATGACCCCAAGGACAGACCTGAGAAAAGCCCAGACCCTGCCTGCACAAGGGGGTCTCCATGTGATGGTGAACCCCCCTTTGGCTCTGCTTCCCCCACCAGCCGGGAATCACCAACTCCCTTCCCCTGCTCCTGTGAGCGTTACCCCTGGTCTCATGTGCCAACGAGACAGAAAACTTTGCAGCGATGTCCAGCCACGGCAGATCTGCGTGGTCTGCTCAGCGCCTCTGCGTCCCGGTGTGCACGTGCAAAGAAATAGGATGCTACGCGTGCTGGAGCCGGCATTGCCCATGGGTGCCTGGGCTGCTCGCTGAGGGACACGAGCTCTGGCGTTCCCCAAATCTGCCTCAATCCATGCCGCTGCTCAAGCTGCTTTGAAAAGCAACGGCAGTGAGAGCTATTCAGCTGCTCGGAGAGACAAGCACCGACCTCTGTGCTCAGCGGGTCCAACCTGAAGAGCAGACAATATCCGCAACGGGTGCGAAGATGCAGCAGGTGATGGAGAGATCCCATCTGTTGGGACCAGCTGAGGCATTAAGGGGAAAAATAAAACCAGTTCCCAGCAATCTCGGCACCCTCCATGAAACAGGCCTGGCTCTGAAGGGGATGGCTTTGCAAGTCAGCAAAGCGGCACCTCAGAACGAAAATATCAAGAACGTCTTTGCGACAATAGCAAAGTGCTATTTGAAGGGGATCTTTTCTCATTTGCTTTACTCCTGCAATATAATAGAGTACCAGATGCCATCATTTAGTCATCCGTGGCGGAGAAAGGGGCCCATATGTTGCATGTTGTATGATAAAGGAGAAATAATCGCGGTCTCAGATGGAATCAGCTCTCTTCCAAGCTCAGCTACACACAAATCTTTTAAGCCCTTTAAATTTTATTCTGAATGTAGGTGACGGGATCAGAAAATGATGGAGTTGTGATCAGATATTTAGCTTACACACTTTTTTGCTCAGCCAGCATTGGATTTGAGCCATGGTGCTTGTGAACTGGCACCCCTTCTGTAGGAGGTGCACGGGCTGAATGATTAATTAAACCCTAATCAATGCAACGTCTTTAACAGAGTTACGGCCTGCTTTGCATCCAGGACCATGAGCACCGACTACCCCATACTGCGAAGCAAAGCTGGTTTACATCTCCCCAAAAGCACGGCGTTCCTTGGGATTTGTTGCCTTGCCACGCGCACAGCCCCATGGGCACCCCTGCACATGCACAAGCGGGCAAGTGCAACTCACTTTTCTCTGGCTTCCTAAAAACGCAGGAATAGGTGTAGCACATCTGCCCTGCCATGTGCCAAGATTTTTGCTCTCCCCACCACTCTGTGGATCACTGATACTTAAGAGCAGAAAAAGCCTCTTGGTACATTTAATACCCATGGAGGTTTTTTTCCTCTGCAGTGTAAAGGCTTTCCCTGTTTTGGAGAAAAGCACGTCGTGTCTGGGACCGACAGGAGACTCCAGGGAAGCTCTGATTTTTACTTTTTAAAGGAAATTTCCCCAGTGAAATGCCTGGCCATGGAGCAGAGCCCTATGGGGTGTGACACAGGCACCTCGGTGCTGCCTTGTTTTATATTAATCCCTACCTCTTACGCCTCTGTAACACAGGGCACCATTTCTTGCTGCTGCCCATGCCTCCGAGCAGAGCCCCGAGATGCGGCAGCTGTAACCAAAGCATCTCCCACAACCGGGGGACCGGCACCGGGAATCCATGCGCTTCCCTCTCCATCGTCGGCTAGGTGGGAAGCAGCGCTGCTGCAAGGCTTCATTTGACGTCTGACAGGCAAATCTGTGCTTCTTCCTTCTGGGCAAGATTTTAGAGACAAATCTCCCCAGGCTGGCAGACTGGACCCTCCCTCCTTTGAGCAAGTCAATGAACTCTTCTCTCTCCAAGGGGCTCATCAAGGGCTATTACCTGGAGCCTCCATGGTAATTACAGCTTGAAAGACTCGTCGCTTCCCTCGCGCTCTGTAATTTGTAATCAGAAGCAAACTCTTGACTGATCAGCAGCCAGATACGGATGCGGGACCTCTCCAGAGGGAGAAGGCACATCATTAAGGATTGGGCTCTCCCGAGAACAGGGGAGCCACATTTCCCAGATCCTGCTACAACATCCAAAGGTAATTTGGTCCCAGGAAAGCTTCCTTCGCCTTTCCCAGGTGGTTTCGGTGAGCAGGCACCAATGTACCAAGTCTCTGATGTAGTCAACTCTTGTCCTGACCTTTTATTTCCAATTATCTCTGAAGGCAGCTGCCCTGTTACCGTCTGTGTTCGGAGCCACAGCAGCATCACTCACGGGTACAAGACAACTGCCAGGACCGCTCAGTCGCATCCTCTGAAATGCTCCCCATTATTCTTCAAACAGAAGACTCCCCAGCCCCAGAGCCAGGTATGGTTTTACCCATCAAATAGCACACTTTGCAGTGAAAAGACCTAAACCAAGGCGCCAAACTCTTTGCAGCCCACACTGGGTTTCCTGCCCTGAAGTGCAATGGAACAGGATCCCGAGGTTCTTCCCTCCAGCCCCTGTGGCTTCTCGCCCTGAAGACCAGCCCCATCCCTGCTCCCGTTGCCTCTCCTGCCTTGGCACAGGAGTCCGAATGCCTTGCAAGCCCTGGGGTTAATT